CGTTCAGAAACCCTAGACCCAACCAAGGGTTACCCCCACCCCCACCCCCTTCCTGTTAGCAAAAGATGAGAATATGAGATTGGGGGGGGGGGTGTCAAAGAGGAATCAAGAGTCTGGGAGTGTCCTTGTCGCCTTCCAACAGCAATCCCCAAAACGCAGCCCCATTTTGGGGGAAAACGCACCCCACGTTCCCACTGTCTTCCTTGCCAAGTAGCCGGCTGCAAAGGGACCAGGGCAGGGATGGCGCCCGGAGAGGGCAGAGGGCCAGCTCTTCCAGGCATGAAGACAGCTGGTTGGGGACGAAGCACTGGGCTGACCATCGGGGTGCAGGCTCCATCCCATCTCCCGCATCCCTCTCTAGCCTCAGTTTCCCCCTTCGAACAGGAAGGGGCTGGGCAGAGTGATCTTTACAGGAAGCATTAGGAGAGTCCCGGGCCCCCAACTTCTGAGTCGACTATGATGGCAGAGGCATCTGCTAGGAGGAGCGCGCCCTCTCGGGAGGGGTTCTGGGGGTTTTGTGATGCCATCAGAGCAAAGATGGCAAACCTAGCCCTGCTATTGGAGACCGAGGACCTCAGTGGAGAGGCACTGGTCAGAAAGCTTGCTCAGCCCTGAGACTAATGTAGGGGAGTGGGAGGGGGAGGGGGTGGAGTTCTGGAAAAAAGCTGAGTTCTCGGGGCTCAGGAACCCAACTGCAAGAGACCCCAGACAGAGCAGGCAGGAGCAGGTCACTGGGACAAGGGAAAGGTGACCCCAGAGACCAGCCTTGCCCTGTGAGTCCAGGCCCTTAGGCAAGTCATGCGATGCCCAAAGGGACACCTCTCTCTCCCCTTCCTTTCCCACCCCCTTCAGGGTGCTACATGGATTAGAGTAGAGCTGGAGCCGGGTTGAGAGCATGGTCCTGGACAGGCCAAGGCCTCAAAGCATCCCTGCCCCAGATCACTCTACACAGTGAGTTTCGGGGAAAACAGCTCTTAGGGGGTGGGGGTGGGGGGCGAAGTCAGCCCTGCTTGGTAGCATTTGCCAATTTTCCACGCTGGCAAATTTTAAGCTACTACTGTGCCATCACTGAACCTGGAGCCGGCAGACGTGAACAATCAGCTTTCATGAGCCGGTACAAACCGGTTCCATCCCACCACTGACCATGTCCAACCTACAGTCGGCCACTAACCCAGGCAGCATCTCAGCAGGAGAGGACACAGGCAGGCGGGCCTAGCTCTGAATCCTAGCTCGGAGTGGTCTCAGCCAGGGCGCTTCCCTGCGCCTCAGTTTCCTCATCTACAAAAGGGGAATGATAACCCCACTTCCTGGGCCGACAGTCTGGAGTCGAGGGAGTCACGTTTGTAAAGCATCCTACAGACGAAGAATGCTTGGCCAGCGTGGTGGCTGGCATGTGGCTCAGCTCGGCCATCCCACCACGAGGAAAACCAGTCGGGGTGCGTCTGAGGCTTGGCCAAGACTCCCACACAAATACGACCACCACGGCCACTGGTCCTTTGTGAAAGTGGGGAACTTTCCAGATTATAAATGTTCCAAATGAATGCAAATGTGTTCAATAAAACACACCTGTGGGCTACTTTCAGCCCCGGCCACCCGTTTGCCACCCCTGCCCTAGTGATCTGGGGGAGCAGAGAGGAGCCCCCAGCTGGGGCAGGGAGTACTCACAGCTGGTTAAACATGCGCTTCATCTCGTCTGTGATGTTCACAGAGCCGACCTCTTCATCCGAGAACCGGTTCACCTCCCCGTCCTGCTCAGAGATGTCATCGTCCGAAGTCACCTTACGCTCTTTCTTTTTGGGGACCACCTGACCCGGAGAGGAAGAGATGGAGGTAACTGGGAGGCTCTGCGGGGAGGGAGGGTAGGGGTGGGCCGGGAAGGGAGCCAGCATCTCACGGGATAGATGGAGCGTGGCTGGGGCCGGCTGCTGCCAGGGAAGATGCACAGGTCCTCTAAGGAGCAGGCGGCGTTAGCAGGAAGCATGAGGTAGGGAGGCATGCGGGATGTAGGACACAGACAGCCTGGACCCTGCCCTGCCCTGCCCTGCCCTGGTGGCGGAGCCAGCTCAGCTCACCCCTTCACCAGAAAAGCCACCACCAGATTTGGGGAGAGGAGCGAGCTGTGGTACAGAATGACCTGGGATGTCTCAGCACCAGCCAGAGAGCCAGAGACGCCCCCACGAAGGCCCAGATGGCTCCCTGCCTCCCAGAGCCCTCCTGCTCACATGCAAAAGGCAAGAGGCGGCGGCCCCGGTTCACCAAGCTCCCTCCACTCCCAGCAGACAAGACATGAGCAAACCAAACCAAGGCTGATATGGTGCCCCCTGCCCTCCAGCAGCAGGGCGGCGAGGAGGCCCAGAGGGGAACAGGGGGCCCAGGGAAGCGCAGTTCTCACCCGGCTACATCCAAAGTCACACACTGAAAGCAACAACACACTGCCCCGGGCTAGCAAAAGCCGAACCACAGCCCAGACTGAAGACGCAGCCTTCGGAAAAGGACGCCCGCCCTTCAGGCAGCCCCGGAACAGCGGCCCTGAACCCATCGCCTCTTCTCGGGACACACACTTGCTCACTGAGGGGGGAGCGGAAAGGCGGGGGAGACCGAGCGCCTCTTCAGTGGGAAGGAAAACCACACAGAGGCCAACAGGCTCATCTGCCAGGGCTCAGCCAGCTCACCCAGCGCACCCACAGCCTGGCACCTCGAGGAAGAGGCAGGAAGCCGGACAGTGAACCCAGTGTGGGTGGGTGGACGAAGCCCTGCAGGGTCAGGAGACCCGAGTTCTAGTCCCAGCTCTGCCATTTCCGTCCTTGAGCCCCATCCCGTCACCCCCGGGTGAGAGGTCTCCTCAGCCACAGGATGAAGCCGTCAGCCTGGAGGATGGAGTCGGGCCAGCCTGAGCCTAGAGTCCCTGAGTCTACGCTCTCCTGGGGAGGCCACACTGCCTCGGGGGCCGGAGGGGTGGTGGTGGGGGAAGTGGGGAGGATGTGAGGGGAGCAGGGCTGGCCAGGCAGGGGGGAGGCTGGGGCTCTCCGGAGGGTGGCAGTGGCAGGTGGGGGTGGCGATGGTGAGCAGGGTGAGCCCTAGTCACCTGGAAGATCTTGGACACGTCTTCCGAGTTCCGCTGCTGTGCGACATCGCACAGCTTGGCCGTGATATCGATTCGGCGGCAGATGTCCATGTCCACCTTCATGGCCTTTTCTTGGATCTTTGTGTCCAGGTCTGTCATGGGCTGCAGGGAGGACAGCAGGGGTTACGTGAGCGAGGGAGGGAGCAGGCATGGCGTGGGGCGCTGCTCCCCGGCCCCTGCTGGACAGAGAGGGGTGGAGGGCCTGGGCGTGAAGGGTTGGGCCAGCGCTGCTCAGGCTGGGGCGGGGGTGGCGGGGCCGTGGGAGCTAAAGGCTCTGGCGCCGAGTGGACAATGTGAGGCCGCGTTTGAGGGCTCCCTAAGGGCTGGACGACACCTCTCAGCAGACAGTGTCACTGTTTATTCTGTTAGAGCAAAGACAACACAGAGGCAATCCCGCGCTGAAAGACTCCCTTCTTTCCCCACGGAGGTGCCTGCCTAGGCGGCTGTCTCTCTTCAGGATTCCTCCCATGGCTGACAGCGGGGGTCTGCCCAGGACAGGGGGTCCCCCAGGACCCCAGTGAGGGGAGCCACATGGCCTCCCCGTGGCGCCCCAGGCGGTTTCTCCCAGCCACACCCGGCTTCACACCCCTCAGGGTCAGAGGCCACACCTCAACGAGTCACCCGGAATCGGGCACCTTCTCCTGGCGGCTCTCCCTACACACTGCCCGCTGTCTGCAGGTGGCAGGAGACCCAGGTCCCCAGCAGGGAGGCGGCCTGGGCTGCCAAAAGCTGCCGGTACCCACGGTCACTCAGAAGGGCTCTGATTGGCCAAAGGAAGCACACACTCGCCTTCCCCGACTGTACAGAGCAGCCCCGCGGAAGGCCACTGGCCTGGGAGCCTCTCGGGGTGGCATGGCACAGGCCTCCCTCCACCTGTGCCCGACCTGGGCCAGGACACTGAGGCCCTCGGCCACCACCCGTCGCATCCTTGCGAGCTGGGGAAGAGTCGGAGCCAACACACACAGACCATCCGTCGGAGGAGCCTCGGGAGGCAGGATGGGTTAAGCGGCAGATTAATGCATCTCTACTCAGACCAAGGGAAGCGGGAGAGGACGACGGGCAGGAGGGGGCGCCTGGTCTCTGATGCATCTGTCATCCTCGCAGTCCATCGCGCAGCCAGGACTCTAACTAGAAGCCGAGCTCTGGAGCCTCCGAGTGAATGAAGCGTTTTGCATGATGGGTGTGGGGGAGGTGATGACGCCTGGGGCGGCGGCCAGCGCACTTACATCACTCATGAGCCCCTTAAACACCACCAGCTCGGCCTTCAGCCTCTCGATCGTCTCGTTCATCTCCTCCTGGATGGCTTCGGCCTCCTGCGCCGCCTATGGGGACAGAGATGGGGAGGGTTGAGGGGGGCCGGGCACCCTGAGGGCAGGAGGGACCGGACACCTGGGCCCAGCCAGGCCAGGCACCTGATGGCTGGGGATGGGGCGCCAAGGACCTCGGCCCAGCCTGACTTCCCAGCACTCAGCTTAAAACTCTTCTCAAAGGGATATTACGGCAAGGGAGACCCATGGCAGACGGTAAGAGGAAAAGAGCAAGTAATGCAATAAGTGGTCCCCATAGGTTAACATATGAGGTCCGTTCGTGTGACATCACCAATATTTGATGGGGTCACTATTCTTGTACCCATTTGGCTGAGGAAAAGAGAGGCGGGAAGGTGAAGTTGCTTAGGGTACCTAAGCAGGCGGATGAGTGCAGGGCCCAGAACACAGAGCTACCGAGCCAGAATAACAAGGTCCTCATGCTCACCATGGGGAGCCCACTCAGGCTGGGCGCCCACCTTGTGACCTGCCCACTGCCCTCTCCAAGGCATTAGGCCCTAAGTCAGATCCTGCAAGCTGGGGGGCGGGGGTGGGGGCTTAAACACCATCCAGGTGGGGAGAAGAGGCAGGAGAGGGGAGTCACTAGCCCGAGGTCACCCCACAAGCTGGGGCGGCACCAGGACTTGGACCCAGGCTTCCCAACGCCTGTACCTGAGCTTTGCTGCAACACTGTGCGGTCCCTGCCTAGCTGCAAAGCCGGGGCCAGAAGAGGCCCCTTGGCTCCATCAAGGAGAGACTGAGGCAGCAGGAAATCACAGAATAGGGGCTGGGAACTGCCCCCGGCTTTGCCCCCTGAGGACTTCGCCCCCTAAGGACTGTGCCTCTTCTGATCAGGAGGGACCTCTGGGGCTCTTACCTCCTTCAGCGTGTCCACCATGGTCTGCAGGTTCATGCTCTTGGCCAGCTCCTCCTCCCATCTGTAAGAGCCAAGAAGGACAGGTGGTCAGAGGGAGCCTCCCATGCCAGTCCAGCCTCACACCGAGCGGGCAGCCACCCTGGGCCTGTCCCCGGCACAGCAGTGACTCCACCCCTGCCTGCCCTCCAGGAGCTTCCCTCTAGGGGTTGGGGGCGGGGCAGGGACAGGCAGGTCGACACAGGCCCTAATACCAGGCGGTGTGGATGAATGTCATGCTTCAGGCATGAGCACAGCACCATGGGAGATGAAGGCAGGAGGGACCTCCACTCCCCCTTCACGCAAACTGTGAAGTGCTGTGCAAACACTGCTGCTCCTGCCGTGGCTGCAACATACAATCTTAAGGCTGGCACGCAGGAGCCAGGCTGTTCTCTGCACCCGCAAGAAGCACTTTTATTGTGCCAACTGTCGCAATCTTAGTATCTCTGGCCCCGTAGCCTATCCTCACCAATAAAGACAAGACATCACTGTACCGTACAGATGAGGGCTGGAGGCTCGGAGAAGTCGAGTGCCCGCCCAAAGACACACAGCTAGTTAGTGAGTAGGGCTGGACTTCAAACCCAAGTCTGTTTTGTTACAGAAAAACAAAAAATAACAAACACAGCGCTCGCTTCTCTAGCGCTTATTTCACGCCAGGCCCTGTCCAGGCTTTCCATGTACTGTCTGGTTCGTGCACACGCGGGTCGAAGCTGGGCAGGATGTGACAGAGAGGAGAAGGCACAGCGGGGTAACGGATACCCCGGCATCACTGGAGGCTGGATGAGACGATAACCAGTGCACTCGCCGTAACAACACCAGCTCGCCTTAACAAGGGCTGACTTCGCATGAGGCACCCGTCTCCGTGACATAATTCAATGACATCACAACCCTCCAGCACAGGCGCCTCCATTATCCCCACGTCACGGGTGCAGAGAGGCAGGCACAGAGTCAGGTGCCCAAGGTCAGGGTGCCGACAGGTGGAGCCAGGACTCAAACCCTGGGCTCGAGGCTCCAGACTGAGTGCTCGTAACCCTGCTGGGCTCCTCCAGGACCCAGGACCAATCAAAGCCCTAACACGGCTCCCCACCCAGACCGCCTCCCTCCCCAGAGGAAGCCAGGGGCAGGCTCCCTTCCCTCTCCATCCTGGGACAGACAGACAGCTCCTTTCTCTTCTTGCCCCACTGCCGCCTCCCTACATGGCCTCTGAGCAGCAGATCTGGAAGCCTTTAGGATGCTGCGGGGCAGCTAAAAATAGGCCAGGGGGAGGGATGGACGGAGAATGGGTTACGTCACCAGCTTTTGGAAATAAGAGAAAACGGATACTGTTTGCACACACAGAGGAAAATTCCTCCTTTCTCCCACACAAAACGAGACGGGCCTGGCTAGGGCTCCCGGAGGGACGTACAGACACACACACAAACATGCACACACACACCCTCTCCCCTGTTCCCTTTGATCTTGATCAGCCCCCGGCACTGGCAGCCAGGCCTAGATCTGCCGTGGGCCACAGGCTCCAGGACCTAGAGGGCAGGGGGGCTGGGTGGGGGCTGCTCCCAGGGATGAAGGACACAGAGGAAGCCAAGGGGCAGAGAGGGAACCTAAGGATCTAACTCAGGCGGGACATCTCACTGAACACCCTCGCTGTACAAATAGGGAAACTGAGGCCCACAATGTGCCAGAAATTTGCAAGGTCATCCAGGGTGTCAAGGGCCAGGCCAGGAGTTCACCCCTAGGCCCAATGTCGGGGGACAGAAGTCCTGGGTGGGGAGAAGTCCACAGGCGGCCCTCACCCCCGCCCCCCTCCCGCTGCCCAGCAGCATGGGGCATCCAGGGCTTCCCTCAAGAGAAGCCAAGGCCCAGAGGGCAGGTCCCTCGCTGAATCATCCCTCCTGGCCATGCAGCTCTGAGTGGGGGCCGAGAACCTGATTCCAAAACCACTGCGCAGAGCAGGTGCCAGCGCCTGGCCTCACTACTGCGTCTTACAGCGACACCAGGAGCAGCAGAGAAGGGGGCAGCGAGGGATGAAGATGCAGGCGCCCAGGGACATCTCCCGGCTACACACACACCCATTCCCCAAGCTCCTGGGCAGGACGCCCAGCCCCCTCTCACTTTTCCTTTCAGCAACCTTCTCATGAGGAAGGTGGGGCAGGAGTCAACAGACCCATTGTACAGATGGGAAAAATGAGGCCCAGAGAAGGAGAACGACTGGCCCTAAGTCCACCCAGACCAAGAACCCAAGCCACGTTAGCAGCAACAGAAGCAGCCACTGATTGGTGAGCACGTCTGGGTACCACGCACGCACTGGGCCCAGTGCCTCATATACATATCTCATCAGCTTTCATGTGAACAATTAACCCTCTCGGGCAAAGGCTTTCCCCCCAAACCCATTTTGCAGATGAGAGAGCTGAGGTTCAGAGAGGTGAGGTCACTTGTCTAAGGTCACACAGCTTTCAGCAGGGATGGGACTGAGGCCTAGGCCTGCTCACACTGTGACAGGCATGGGCATCACGTGGATCTTGCTCAGATGCAGACCGGACTCAGCAGGGCTGGGGCGGGGCGAACATGCTGCATTTCTAAAGAGCTCCCCTGCAGATGGCACGTGGAGTGGCCCCACTCCTCACTAGCGATTCTAAGCTGCACCCCGGCAGATAAACTTGCTTGAGCCTTTTGTTTCCAAAGCCAGGCTGCGTGGGCAGCCGGCACTTCTGGTCCCAGAAGACCTAGCACAGACCCCAGCATGTAGATAGCAGCTGGCCTGGCAGACGGATCCACTGCCCACGCTGACGTGCCTCCGGCTGCGGCGGGAAAACCTGGCTGGGCCGGCCCCAGTGTTGACAGTGCAGAAAAGCTTTGCCCTTCAGCTGCTCTGGCTGACTGGGGTGAAAGGATGACGACAGGTGATGTGCTTCTTAAGATGCCCCAGACACCCCACCCTCACTGTGTGCAGCCTGGGAGCAGGGAGCACCAGCTTCCCCGAGAACTGGTCTGCCAAGTTGTGGGCTATGGAATTTCAACACCTGCTTCCCAGGCACGGTCCGGTCCCCTCCCCAACCTGGTTCAGCCCACAGGAGTAAGGTTTCGGCAGGACAGTGTTTCTGGCAGAGGGACCAGCATCAGCAAAGAGGGGCAGGAGGAAGGCCAGGGAGTAGCCAATGGCCACTGAGAAGAGGGCACACCTACTACGGGTCAGGGGCTGGTGGATGTCATGTCCTTTAACCTTCACTGTCCCAATTCTCTTGCCTGACCCACCGCTCAGCAAAGGTGGTCACAGGAAAACACACACACACACACACACACACACACACAAAACCTCCCCATTTTACAGGTGGGAAAATAAAGGCCCAGAGCACAGAGACAACTCACGCCAGGGCCAAGACGGCCTGAGTCACTGAGAGCCACCCTGCCCACCCCGACCCGACAGCTCCTAAAACTTCCAAATTCTTCTCTCCTCAGGTGTTAGACTAGAGAAAGGAGAGGAGGGACATTTACTGGGCAGCTTCTGGGTTGTGTTCACCATATTAGGCATCCATAGACACACAAAATGCAACATGTCACTTACCCCCATCCCCCACATCGCCCCCACGGTGCAGATGAGCAAACAGAGGCTCCCTGTCCCTCCCTCCCTCTCGGCCTCCTGCAGTCCTCTGCGTCCTCCCAGGCTCCTCTCAAATGTACCCCTTCCCAAGTCCCGCAGCCCCTTCCACTGCTTTCCCTGCTCCACTTCCAAGCTCCCGCTTGCGGCAGCCAGGCCTCAGGCTCCGTCTTCCCCGGCGGCGCGGTGATGGTGTCCCTCCCTGCGTGGTTCTCACCCCAAGAGCCAGCCGCTGTGCCAAGGACAGCGCGATGGGCCGCCCTCCACCTTCCCCACCTCCAGAGCGTGCTCAGGCCCTGGCCCCAGATCCACTCCGGCCCCAGGTCCTTCCACTCTCCACCCCTCCCACATGCAGACACCCTGCAAGCCTCACAGGTGTGCCAGCGCCTCAAAGCGCTCCCAGCCTCCGAGGCAGGCAGGAGAGCCCATGATGGCGAGGATGAGGATGGTAAGAAGACTAACAGAGGCTCTAACAGGTTCTAACAGCGCACACGCTGTGCGGGCTCCGTTCTTAGGGGCTTCACATACGTAGCCTCATTCTATGAGCTGCACGGTAGCCTTAGGGACAGTCACTATCTCCATGGTACTGATGAAGATGTTCAAGTCCAAAACCATGAGCCAAGATCACACAGCCAGGAAGGTGGGGCTGTTTCTACTTTACAGAAGAAGACCGACACTCAGAATCTCCCAGAGTGAAGGCTGGAGGGCATCGGGGCTCCCCTCGCCCAAACCTGATGGTACAGATAAGAATGCTGAGGCCCAGGGCTACGCAGGGAGTGGGTGGCAGGGTGCCCGCTACTCTGCTGGACTAACCAGAGTGAGACTGGGCCCGATCTGCCTTCCCCAACATCGGCCTCCATTTCTCAACAAGGTAGATCGTGGCCCAACACACCCCAGGGACACGCAAGAAAAACCCACCCTCTCTGACAGCCATGTGACTGGCCCACAGCCACGGCCAGGTCTGGCTGGGCAGACCTCGGGGTGCATTACTGGCCCTTGCCACTTGGTCCCTCCAATCCCCCTGGTGTCCAGTGCTCACTCCCTCCCACTGCCTGGAGCCGTGAACTGAATGTGAAATCGGGATCCCACGAAGGAAGGGGCCTACACAGGGCCTCCCCGGATACCCCTGGGGCACCACTGGGCACGATCCACACATGGGAGCAGGGGTGGGTGCTGGACAAGGGCAAGGGTGGCCTGGAGGGTCCCTGTGCCAATGCAGGGACAAGCGGGGGCCCAGGCCGTGGAGTCCATGAGTCGGGAGCTTGGGTGTGTGCCTGCAGCACAGGGAAGCCCTCCAGCGCCCATCTCAGCAGGTCCAGGCACCCTGCGACCTGGCCAGCAGGGCAGAGAGGACACATGGGCGAGATGCCTGTTCCAGGGTGGAAGAGAGGCACAGCGGAGGGGCACCCCCAAACAAGTCACTAGACGAGCTG